TGACAAAGCAGGAAGGAAGGAGGGGTTGAGTGTAGCTGGGCATGCTGGAGTCCCAGCCACTCAGGAAGCCGAGGTGGGAGGGTGTCTTAGATCCGGGAGTTTGAGGCCAGCCTGGGCTATGTGGTCAAACCTCAAGGATTTCTTGACACACAGTACTGTAGGAATGACTCTAAGCAAAATAAGCCAGTCATAGAAGAGAGAAAGCATCCTGTGCCTCCCCTTAGTACATGGCACCTAGCCCAGTGACAGTCCCAAAGACAGAAAGTTGTTGACACCAGGGTCTGGGTAATGGGGTGGGTGAGGATTCATGTTTGTAATGGGTACAATCTTTTAGGTTTACAGGATGGTAAGAGTTGTGGAGATTGGATGTGCCAATGACACACCACAGCATGAGTGCCCTGTACACCAGGTAAAGCCATGTGAAGACTGAGGACAGAGGTCACACACAGGCCTGGGTTTGATCTCTCTGCCCCCATCCTCTATCCCCCCCCCTGGCCAAAACACACCATGAACTGATTGTGGTGGTGTCCTCCTGTGATCCAGCCATCAGAGATGGAAGCTGGAGGATCAGGAATTCAAGGTCATCTTCAGCCACAAGGAGAGTTCAAGGCCAGGCAGGACCGCAGTAGACTGTCTCAAACAGAACATGTAAAAATTAACTCAATTTGAAAATTGTAAAAGGTGTACCCAAAATGTACTCTTGCTTTAAAAATCAAACAATTCAAACAAAATAAGTTTCCCCTGCCAACTTCCTCAGCTGTGCCGGTGTGCCCAGCATGCCTTACATACAGCAAGGCTTACACGACAGCACAGCCGCCCTCTGACTCAAGCTTTATACTAATTCCCATGGTAAGGATGAGGAAGTAGAACAGCCGAGAATCATGGATCTTTTCCACCATCCCAGAGTCCAGAAGTGCCTGAGCTCGATTTAACCCTGCAAGTACAGACCCCTCTTCTCCAGGTAGCTCCTGGAGTCAAGCGGATTCCCTGGTACCGAGACAAGAAAGTGTGTCACTAGCAGATGCTGTCCTCAAGGAAGCCTGGTGTGACTGTGAGGAGCAGGACCCATGTGGGATGCAGAACTAATGGCACACACGTGACAGGGGGTTTTACCTTCCTGTTCCAGAGGAGAGACGATTCGGCAAGGTACTGAAGGTTTTTAAAAGGATGAAATTGTATGTACCACACGTTTTATATTTAATTCTTAACTCAAATGCCAGATCTAAGTTTCCAAGTCACTCTGGCCAAAGCAGCCGTCTGCCCCTGCTTCTCTGTCTCACACACAGGCTTCATTGTCCCTTTCCTCACCCACATTCACTGTGTGTCATCGGTTGGTCGGAGACAGCATCCTCTCTGCCCCCCTCATCCGGAATCTCCCATGCCTGGACCAGTCTGGCAGCTGCTAAGTGGCTGTGCACTTTTCAGAGGATTATGCTGCCAAGTTACATAATTTGTGTGCCTTGAATTTTGTTGTAAGACTCTGGTAGCCTGAAAACAGGGTCTCCTTTGCTTTCTTTCTTTTTTTTTTTCTTTTCTTTTCTTTAAATATATGTGTTTTTTATTTATTTATGTATTGTGTCTACAGTCTTCTGCCTGCATGCCAGCAGAGGGCACCAGATCTCATTCAAGGTGGTTGTGAGCCACCATGTGGTTGCTGGGAATTGAACTCAGGACCTCTGGAAGAACAGTCAGTGCTCTTAACCGCTGAGCCATCTCTCCAGCCCCTCCTTTGCTTTCTGCTGGGCAGTCAGCATCCATCCTTTGGTTTGTAGCTCCATTACTCCAGTCCTAACTTTCGTCTCCACACGACTTCTCTTTCCATATTTCCCCTGTGTCTCCACGCACAAATTTCCCTCGTGTGTGTATGTGTGTGTTTCGTGTGTGATGTGTAGTTATTTGTGTATGTGAGTGCCTGTGTGCCTGTGAAGCAAGAGGTCAAATTCAGTTGTTTTCCTTGATCACTTTCCACGTGATTATTTATTTATTGATTTTGAGATAAGGTCTCGCTATACAGCCCTGCTGGTCTGGAACTCACTATATAAACCAGGCTGGCCCTGAACTCACAGACATCTGCTTGCTTCTGCCTCTGGAATGCTGGGATTAGAGGTGTGTGCTGCCATTCTTTGCTCCACCCCCTTTTTTAAAAAGACAGGTTCTCTCAGTGAACCAGAGACTCCTGGTTTCGGATAGGCTGCCTGAGCCTCAGGACCTACCTGTCTCTGCCCACCCACACAGACACTTGCTGCTTGTGCCCAGTTACTTACGTAAATGCTGGGAATCTGAACTCAGGTCCTCATGTCTATACAGTAGGTACTTTATTGACTGAGTTTTGTTCCCATCTCCAATTATCCCCTTTATTAAAAGGGTACTGGTCGTTGGAGTTAGGGTTTATCGTATTCTGGCCTGATTCTGACTTACTTTCACGTGTAATGGCTATTTTCACATAGGAACATTCTACAACAAGGGTTAGGACTTTAGCTTTTATACCTCACCTGTAACAGCAGTCAATTCCCATTTAAACTGCTCTTCTGTGAAGAGCTGGTTATAGTGTGATGATCTCTCAGGTGAGTGCAGGCACAAACTCTGGAAGGTTCTCCCTGGAGTGCCCTGTGATCAATCCCCAGAATACCTCCATGGGACATTAGGACTAGATTCAGGTGAAGAGAAGGAACAGCAGTCATGTTCTCAGCACAAACCTGACTGGGGTTGGGTTGTGGAGTTAAGATTTTAGATGCAATATTTTCAATCATCTCATATAGGTAACTTACGAAGGTGATTTATTGTCATTATAAACAGGTTTAGTAGAACAAAATAAATGTCTACTAACATTCTCACCACTCTGATGTGGTGCGTGGACGACTCAGGAGGTGACCATTCTGGGGAGAGGAACCCAAAAACTTTGGTGTAGGATGAACTTAGCATGTTCAGGAACAGAAAGAACAAGGCAGCTGGAACATCCCGAAGGATGTCCACAGCTCTCCTGTTGGATATCTGTCACATACAACCAACTACTTCCCAATAGCAACCCTCCCTCATGTCCTCGTTCTCTGTAAGCACACTAGCCAGGTGGTACAGGAGGCTCGAGCCTGGAGAGCATGACAAGCTAGCGAAGGGATTGATAGACAGCAACGCATCCTTTCCCCCAAGGAGTCTGGCAGTCTAACAAGGACTGGGCACTGTCTCTGAACCTGTGCCTGCGGTGTTGGATGCCGGGGGGGGAGGGGGGAAGGTGCGGAAGAGTGAGGAGATGGACCCCGGGGGAAGGCTCGGCCCTCTACAAGGGTGAGGAGATGGACCCCGGGGAAGGCAAGGCCTCCTACAAGGGTGAGGAGCAGAGTGCCGACAGGTAATTTCTCCATCTATGAACCTGTGAGTTCCTTCTTCCTCACAGTCCTGAAGACAGCTCTGAATCCTTGATATACATGCTCATGTCTTTGGCTTCTGAAGACAGCTCTGAACCCTTGATACACATGCTCATGTCTTTGGCTTCTGTTGACCTGGGCCAACCAAAAGAGAAGTGTGAGGGATGAGTTCTACAGGAAATAGTTGGAGAAACACTGGGTTAAATTGTGTTTTAACAGCCTTCATCTGTAAGACTTTCAGAAAATTAATAAGCTTTGAGTAGAGTTGGCTCTTCAAAGGCACTAGAAGGTACAATGCTTTTGTTGATTTTCAGGGTAGCCTGAGGCCAGGAAGGCCAAGATGGGAAGGGAGGATCCTGGTAGTCTGACCTCCAGGAACATACCCATTGTTGTAAAACCTTGCTGCAGCAAATGACTCTTTTTGAAATTTTTTTTTAAAGACAGGTTATCTCTGTGTAGCTTTGTAGACCAGGTTGGCCTCGAACTCACAGAGATCCATCTGCCTCTGCCTCTCAAGTGCTGGGATTAAAGGTGTGCACCACCACTGCCCAGCTTTGAGATTTATTTTTAATTTTGAATTATGTATATGTATATGTGTCTGTGGGGGGGTGTGCACGTGGATGCAGGGGTGTATGAGGCCATCCCTTGGAGCTGTAGCGACATGAACTTGGAGAGCCTGTTGTGGGTCTGCATAAGCCGTAAATGCTCCTAACCAAGGAGCTGTCCCTCAGACTCCTAGCAGCAAGTAATCCTATCCTGAGGGAAGGGGAAGAGAGGTGGGAGGGTTCGAGAAAGAATGCTGTCATCTTTTGATTGTTCATGGGGCCGAGCCTTTCGTCAGGTGATGGATGAAACTACTCCAAATCGAGCCTGGACTGCTGTCAAGCTCTGTGTCACCATCTGCTCATTGCCGTGATCTCTTGCGTGGGCACCTACGATGAGTGTTATCCACAAAGTGAGTCACGGTCTGAACTTTAGGGATCCATGCTCCCTCTTGGTCTGATAGTTCAGACATGGCTACACTGACTTCCAAGCACCGCAAGGTTTGCTCCCCCTTCTTCCGCTATTCACGGGTCATTTGCCTTCTTTGGGTGCACCAAGGGAGAGCCAATGACTTGTGAGTGAAGATGGTCAGGCTCCTGGAAGCTCTGGGTGCCGCGAATGGTGATCCAGACTAACTGACTCCCCTTTAGAGAGGGTTTTGAAAGTGATGCTGTGGATGGGGGTTACAGAGTGTCCCTAAATTCAGCTTGGCTGTGCTGGAGGCTGAGTCCAGACTTGACAGATAGCTTAAGAGAGCGCAGTGCAGCACTGCAGACTCTAAAGACCAGCTGCAAGTCCCAGACTCAGAGTTAGCTCCACCCTGGTGATGATCTGGTTCCTGAAGGGCCTAGAATGCCCAGTGGAAAGTACAGATAATACTGTGTTTAAAGAACAGGATTTAGGTGACGTTTATCCATGGTAAGCCAGTTGGGCCCCTTCGTAGAGCAGCGCTTAGCCCATCCCAAATGGCAGCTGCACCCCTACAAACTTTTGGATCCCAGGGTGCCGGCTGCTGACCACGCCCCCTCCCACACGGGTCCGCCTCTGGGGGCGGAGACTTCCGGATTTCTCTGGCTGTCACGGCTCCACCCAGTTGGCCCTATTCCTAGACACGGCAGTCTAATGCCAGAAAGAACCAGAAATCTGAGCGCGCTGAGGCTGTCATAGCAGGGGCGGTACGCAGTGCAGTCCTCCTGCTGTGAGGACAGATGTGCCCAAGCATAGGGGTGCTCCAACCTGAGCTTGGGTGAAGCTTCTGGAGAGGGCAAGCCGGCATCAGCGAGATGCAGGCGGAGGAGCCGCGCGCCCCGAGTGCGCCCCGAAGCCCCGACATCCCGCAGAGAAGTCAACGCTCGCGGAACCCCGAGCTGCGCCTGTCGGGCCAGCTGCTGCCCGAGCTCTACGGCTTCGTGGCGCGCGTGCTCTTCTACCTGGCGCCCGTCTACCTGGCAGGCTACTTGGGGCTCAGCGTCACCTGGCTGGTGCTTGGCGCCCTGCTCTGGATGTGGTGGCGCCGGAACCGCCGCGGGAAGCTGGGGCGCCTGGAGGCCGCCTTCGAATTCCTAGAGCACGAGCGCGAGTTCATCAGCCGCGAGCTGCGGGGCCAGCATCTGCCGGCCTGGGTGAGCCGGGTTGTGGGCTTGAAGGGGAGGGGTGAAGCTGGGACGCACACCCGGGCTTCACGTGAGGGCTCTGCGGCCTCAGAGAAGAGTTGGGGGCGGGTCACACCCAGGAGTTAAAAACAGGGCGTCCAGGACTTCCCAAAGTTACTGGGAAACAGAAGGCGCTTCTTGTACTCGCTTGTTGATTGAAAGAACTCGCGCAGGGCGTGGCACGTAGATGGTCACACACACCAGCGATAGGAGCAGCGGGCTCTGGTCGCCTTCAACCAAGGGCTAGCAAGAGGCCCTGCTAGGCTGGAGGTGCCTGGCCTGGATGCTGCGCAGACCACTAGCCTCTTCCTCCCTATGCCATGGGGATGCTCAGGCCTTGTCCAGGGACAAACCCGCCTCCTGGTGGCGGCTGGCCTGGCTATGGTTTCTCAAATGCATCTGGTCCGGAGAACCACCTGAACCACCTGGCTCACTTAAAAACAAGTCTGTGCCCGCAGCTTATCTCCTCGAGTAGGGCCCACAGACGCTGGGCAATCCTTAGGATTGATTGGAAGTCTAAAGGAGTCTATTTCCAAGGGTTGTTATATGACAGATCTGCCCCTTCTGGTCCTGGGGCCTTCTGCTCCTCAGCTGTAGCTCAGACTCACAAGACAGATTTACAGAGGTCCCCAGACTCCTCATTTCCTCTGGTTTGCATGTTTTGCATGTGCCCTGAACTCTAAAACCCAGCTAAATGTAAGCGCCTCACACCTGCCTGGGATAGTAGCCTCTACAGTGGGTTTCAGAAGAAAATGTTAGAATGGCCTATTGGTACTCATTTGGAAATTAAGTCTTGCTGTATGTAGTTTGCCTACAAAAAAGCAAGGTACCACAGAAGCAGTGGCTCGAACAACGGAAACTTAGTGTCTCATGGTCTTTGGTGATGAGTTCAAGATCCAGCTGTGTCTGCAGGGTCTGTGTCTTCTGTGGCCACCCTCTTCTCTGCCCATGGATGGCTTCTGTGTTCACACATGCTTCCCTCCATGTACCTGTGTCCAAGTATTTCTTTTTCATGCAAGGACAGCAGTCATGGCATTCAGGTCCATTCTAATGACCTTATTTAATTATATCTGTCAAGACTTTCTCCAAATGCAGTCACCTGAGATCCTGGGGGTCGGGAACATGCAAATTTTGGGAGAGGAGGTTGAGTTTATCCCATAGCATTAATATGTGGATCAGCAGCAAAGCTTTGTACATATGAGTAAATGTATTTGGGTATATACACACTGTGAAACGTTAGTGAGTACTTTCCTAGAGTAGAACTGTTCCTATGGGAACAGATCTGATCTCGCTGGCCATGGAGCACACAGAGGAAGATGACGGTGTCTTATCGATGTCCTTCTCAGGTAGGAGATTGGCACATGATAGGAAATTGTTATGGAGGTCTTGGGTAAGTCAAGAGTAGGTGTCAGGGGGTCAGAGGCCTGAAGTGGACCTTACTGATTCTCACATCAGGTTGTCCCTAGCCCAAGCCTCCTGCTTTCTAGAAGTCTGACCTCTTAGCTGGTATGGCTGGCTGATGTTGGGGGCTAAATCCTAGTTAAGCTTTGGGACTGAGGGGGTGATGCTAGGCTGGGCTCTGCAGGCCTAGAGGGCTTTGTGAATACAGTCCAGGGGAATGAACTGGGCGCTCTGAGGAGCAGTGCGTGCTTGGCCTGTCTAACGTGTGTTGTCAGGGTTGATTGACACGGCTGAGAGGAGGCAAGCATGAAGGAGACAGGGTCAGATTCTGAGGGCTGTAGCTCTTGTAAGGTGCCGGTGGGAGACTTTGATAGACATTGCAGACAGGAGGAAGGAATAAGCAGGAGTAGAAACCCCCCCTGGGAAAATTATTTGAACCTGGCAGTAGTGGGCACAGCCGGAGGAGATGAGGAGCATGATGGAGAGAGACCATGGCTGCTTGTGGTCTCTAGAGTGAGGGAGAAGCCTAGGGGTCCAGGTGCTGCTTTCTGTCGAGAACTGTGATCGTTAGGATGCCTGGGGTAACAAGTCTAGAGAGCTTACTTTCCCATGAACACCTGGGAAGGGTGCATGGCTTGATGCAAACGTGACCCTTTGGCCAGCCTCATGGAGGACAAGGCGGGAAAGCCGGGGCCCGCCTGGTTGAATATTCTGCGCACTTCCTCTTTTTCTACCTCAGAATAGGAACACGCATACTCTACTTGCAAACCCGAGGAGCGGGGGAGCCCTGCCTGCAGTGTGGAGGGTCACAGGCAAATAAACAGAAGACCCTTCACACTGCTGGCTGAACCCCCAAAGCTCTGTCTCCCTGTGTTGGCTGCAATGAGTTAAATATTCGAAAACCCCAAGTTCAGAGCCAGGCACACCTTTAAGAGTCTGAGCACTCTAGAAATAGAGAGAAGAGGACCAGGAGTTTAAGGTGAGCCTTCACTACACAGCAAATCTGAGGCCAGCCTAGGATATATGAAGCTCTCTCTCAACAAGGCTACCAAAATAAAGTGCTTGTTCCGAGCCAGTCACGAGTGGATGTTCAGTAGAAGTTGTTGCTTTATCATCCTCAGTTTTCTGAGCCTTCTCAGGACCTTTGCCCAGTGTTAAATTAATAAATAAGTATCTCAGGAGAAAATGTGTCTTTTGGGACCTGGTTGATGGCAGAGAGTGAAGAGGGGCGGGGACACAGAGAACCTCAGGGAAACCTCACTCTGCCAGGCTCCTGCTGGGCCTGCTCTGTGCTCCTGGGCATCCCGGGGAGTATTCGCCCCCTGGCCTTCAGAGCTCAGCCTCCCCGCTGGTCCTTGAGGCTGGCCACGGGGTCAGCATCTGCTGCTTTCCTGTCACCATAGCACAGAAGTGGGCCTCCACCAGTCCCGCCATTCCCAGGACACTCACCGAACCACCCATTGGCCTTATTTATCAGGTATTTACTTTGGCTCTGCTTTGGTAAAGAGTGAAGTCTGGTGAACGCCTCCCCTGGCTCCTGGTCTGATGGGGTGTGTGAGGGATGAGAGCTTCTTGGTAGGCAAACAGCTCGAGGCAGGGTAGAGACTGGAAAGAACTGTGGGAAACATTGGCAGTTTGTCTGTCTGTGGTTCTGGGTCTAGCCCAGCTTGTTATTGCCAGCTGATAGCAATCGGCTGGCAGCCTTGCTGGGGACAGTTAACCCTTGTGGAATTGCTGGCAGGTTGGTGCTGTCGTGAAGGGGGAGGAGGCAGAGACTTGGAGGTCTCACAGCATTCACCAGGGTAAACCTGTCTCAGGGCTTCTGAAAATAATGAACCTGTCGGAGATGCTTATCTGGAGAGTCCTTTCAGCCACAAATCAACCCCAAGTCAGCTCATCTCTGGCTTCACCCCCCCCCACACACACACTAGGACCTATTCCTTAATCTTCCTTACTCACCCTCCTTGTGACTGGGGAAGCCAATGCAAGAGCCAGGGAAGACGACCCACCCACTCAAAGTGATGAATGTGTGGAGGCCCCAGCAGCATCCCCGGACGGATCCAGCATCCCTGCCGGCCATTCAGGCAGACAACTAGGGCCTGAGTGCCGCCTTTTCTGGGGCCAACCATCAAGCATTCTTACTGTGGAAAGAGCAACACCCCCTCACCCCCCAGGACCCATCTCTTCTTGTCTGTCCTCACTGATAGTTCTGTTAATGAGAGGAAGTCAGTGCAGGTGAGCTGGGCACTCTCAAACAAGCTTGCAAAGCCTGACACTGCAGCCAGTGCCACGGAAGCAGCTGAGGAGAGCCATGGGGGATGGGGGATGGGGTGGGGGGGGGGGGTGGGGGTGGGGGTGGTGTGCCCACAGCCCTAAGAAGTCATATGAGTCATTTGTAGTTGGGCCTGTCCTCAGGAAAGAAGAGGCAGGGCTAAGTCATGTCCTTTGTGTCTCTGTTCCATGTCTTGGTGATGCTTCACGGACTTAATGTGTCCTAGGCTAGAATTGGGCAATATGTGTGACAGAGTGTGGGCGTCCTTTTCCTCCAAGCCCAGCACAGGGATTTTAGGCATCTGTGTGTTCACCCTCTACTCAGTCAGCAGACATCTAGAGAGGGCTTGCAATGTGGGAGCCCCAGTTCTGAAGGACGAGCCACAGATGTAAGTGTCCCATGTCTCTGCCCTTGAGGTGCCATCGAGCAGAGTGGGGACACAGGCCCGTGGGAACAGTCTGTTCTAAGACATATCAGAATCCAAGCATTTCAGGGAGGGATCTGGAGCAGGTGGGGAATGGCCCAGGAACCCTTCCCAGAAGAGGCCCTATGGAGTGGACTTGAGGACTGTGGTCAGGGTGGAGGACTCTGAGCCCAAAGTGTCCCACAGGTTTGATCACTTAAGATGCAGATTCTAAGAAAATATTTTACAAAATTCAAATTCATTTGAGATTGCCTGTGGCTTCATTTAAAAGTCCTGATTATTGCTTGGACAGGAGTGTCTGGGGCAACCTCTCCTGCAAGCAGGTGCCCAAAGACCTGAGTGACCAGGGGGTCACATGGAAGATTCAGGTTAGTGCCATGGGTGGGAGTAGCCCCTGCCCTCCTGTGTTGTAGGCCCCTCCCCACAGAAAGGAGTGGAGGCTGGCTGCTGGATTCCTCTAGCTCCCGTTGTAGCACTTCAGAAGCAAGCAGAGATAGCACTTTGTGGGAGTGTCCGTGGTGACTTAGGGACATAGGGACATTCATGAAGAAATGTGAGGGTCACAGCATGAGGGCCATAATCCAGAGTGAACTGGGTTTTGGGGACCCTTGCCTGTCTTTCTGTGATAGCTTTATCAATGTAACAAACACCTTGGAGAAACAGTGTTTAGAGGAAGGTTTTATTTTGGCTTGCTAACCCAGTGGTTTCTGACTGTGGGAGCATGTGGGACCGGCTACTCACACCGAGAGTGATCTGCCAGACCCGCCCCCTAATGCTTCCATCATCTCCCAGCAATGCCGTCGAACTATGACTCTACCGGGGATTAATTCATTCATGAAGTCAGAGCCCGTATGATCCGGTCACTTCCTCCAA